GCAGGTTAAGCGCAAGGACCCCACGCAGCTAGTCACGCGATCTGTACGACTAGCAACTAGGCCGATGAATCGAGCTCGTACATGTTCAAAAACCTTATAACGGGAAGCGGGAAATAAGTCGGAACCTATAGAAATTTGGCTCCGTGCCCCTACCCCAGGCATCGTATTTGCCAAAACTCCTTCCAACAGACTACCACGTTTTCATCTACTAACCCATTTCTAGAAGGGTGAGAGATACGTTATCGCAAAAAAGGAAAGGGCACTCAACAGTTCCTTCATTCCGAACTTCTCAGCTTTTAGAAAGGATGTGTTCAAACTTTTGTCGGGCAATGACAGGTGGCTATGAGTGAATGTGGTAATAACTGTTCGAATGAAGAAGACTAGAAATAAAAATCCGAATTTTCAAACTGTAGGTAAAATCAGCAAAGACTTTCTCTGCGGCCTGGTACTCTATTTACATGCCCATCAACGTCCCTGCTCTCAGTACACAGAGAATAATGTGCATTTCGAATACTTCAGAAGCCGTTTGAGATCAGTGAGCATTAGAAAAAAGCATAGCTCACTTTGTCCTCCATCGGATTCACACCAAGTAGAATTGGCAGACCAACGATAACACTTACACTCCACACAACAGATATGGAGACCATCGCTCGCCCACTTCTAGCACCATACTGTGCATACGAGATTGGGTGGCTGATTGCAATATATCTGAACATGTGTTTTCCACCAGGGAAACGCGTTGCAGTAACTAAAACCTTCAACAAATTAAATCATGTGTAAGTCCACAGTATTTGATTATAGGCAAGCTTCGTGATAAAATATTTGTTCGAGGGAGTTCAATTATGAAGCTGAGATGAGGATATATCTGGAAGAGGAAAAGAAATCAACGCCCAGTTGGGCCTCAAACAAGGTCCCCCTCGCTTTCAGCAGCTTTTCACTTTGTGCTGGAGAAGGGCGGGGTTTGGACCAGTTTACGAGTGGATAGCCAAAGTTGCCCAGTACGCTTCAGGCAAGAAATCGATACGGACATAGTACATATTTCGGCGCAAATGGATAAGAATTTTGGCGTAGATGGATGACTCATGGAAAAGTTTCTTTCTCTTGTTATCGCTATTTTT